TACACAAACCCCTCAGCCACATACCCAACCACAAACCCCAAACCCCCCGTACACACCCCATACCCCTCAAACCTCACCCCCACAAATCTTCCACCCACCTATAAACTCCCCCAACTCCACCTGCAAGTTGCTTTATACTTGTAAATATATCCATACAACATTGCCCAAATATATCAATTAAATATTGACCTCTGTCTATATAGTGGCATTTTATTTTAATAGTGGAAGAACACTCTGGTACCCTGGGAGAACTTGTATTTTGGTGACCCTGCCCCCCCCAGCTCTCACCATCCCACTCCTCGAAGTCATAAGTCAGCAGCACTGCTGCAGGCAGGAGGAGGCAGGTAGGGACATGGGGCACAGTCTGGCAGGGGAGATGGAGCAGCGTGATGCCCTGCTGCTGCCCACACAGCTCAGCTCAGCTCAGCTCAGCTCCTCCTGCGCAGTGGCTGGAGGCAGGGGATGGGGAGGGAGTAGAGTGGAAGTGCTGGAGGAGGAGGGAAGCAGGGGAGCAGGCTAGGCTGGGCACTGCTTCTTCTGCCAAGGCAGGGCAGCACAAGAGCACTGCTGTGAGTGTGGACTGCTCACATGTGTGCATGAGTGCATGAGTGCAGTGTCCCCCTGACCACAACACCCTGAGTGGTTGCCCACCTTGCCCATCCCTAAGGCTGGCTCTAGATAGAATTATTAAAGAGAGTTACAAATTTACATGACTAGGAACAATATCATCTGTAGTGACACAAACTAAACTACAGTGGTATAACTGTATATATTCTACATATCAATCTGCATGTTGTACTGTACAGAACAACCAGGGGTTAAGAGGGAACTTCCCCCATACATGTTACTATACAATTGCCATTGCATTCTTTCTGAAGCATCTGATACTGGCCACTATCAGAGACTGGATGACAAATCCTGTATGTTTCTATACCTCTCTGCTGTTTTTTCCATATTCAACTTTTTTCATATTAAACTTCCATAGCAGTAAATGCCCTCTCACTGGGCATTTACACTACACATGTGACTTAATGTGCTGTAGCCTATTTTATTGTGCATTACAGCATCAGGGCAAAAACTATGCTAATACACTAATGCTCAGTAAAATTAGGCTACTGCACATTAAGCATTGTCAAAAGAGTGTGCACTTCCACTACTGTGCATTAGGGCAGCCTCATGCACATTTAGTTAATACCTCACATTAGAGGTACTAAATTTAATGCACAGCAGCAAAAGCACATTACTGAATGTGTAGATGCACCCACTGAAAATATAGAGCAGATCCAGGTGTATTATACATACATTCAATGCATCATTCTGCCAATCCAATTATGTTTTTGTTTTTAAATTGCATGTATAAGAAATAACATCAACGTACCATGTACAATATTTATTGATGAATTGAGAGTTCTCTATGTTTAATAGGAAAAAGTTGGAACCTCAGAGGACACAAACTAAAGATATGTATTAGGAAATCTTTTTTTCCCCCCTTTTCCAGATCCTCAAGCGTGTTCTATGTAATGAAACATGGACACTATGTTTCTAGATTTGGGAGCAAGCTTGGGTTACAGTGTATTGGCATGTATGAAAATGGTATTATATTTAATAATAATACAGCACTTTGGAAAGAAATGCGACCTTTCTTCACCAAAGGTAAGTTGTATGCATCTACATTGTAACACATATTTCCTGTATCATATTCTGTGCTCCTGAAATGTAGCATTGGGCATTTTGTATAATTACTTCACTTTTCATGCATCCTACACAAATATTTTATTCCATATGTTCCTTCCTCATTCATCCTGATTTTCATGCTATTAGGGAAGGTCTTGAAAATCCTTAATTTCTTTAATCAAAACTTTATTATGCCTACAAGATGCAGATTTCAATATTTTTATGGTCCAGCATTCATATGAATTCATGGGGCAGTTTTGTATTCAAGTAGTTTTGTCCCAGCCTAAGCTGATTTCAAGGAAATTTCACTCTGAAACTTTCAGCAGCCCCCTCATTTGCTCCTTCTGCCACCTGTACAATTCAGGAAAGGTTCCTTGCCCAGTGCTCCTGCCAGTAGTTCCTATGGGATCTGAGGGCTTGAAAGAACCCCAAAATGGCCTTTCCTTGTACCCTCCATTTTTACCCCACAATTGTTCTTACCAAAGGAAGAACTTCAGGGAGACCTTCTTTACGGTAAGGATAATCAGAACCTGGAATGGGCTTCCAAGGGAGGTGGTGCTCTCCCCTACCTTGGGGGTCTTCAAGAGGAGACTTGACAAGCACCTGGCTGGGGTCACCTGACCCCAGCACTCTATCCTGCCCAGGGCAGGGAGTCAGACTCAATGATCTATTGAGGTCCCTTCCAACCCTAACGTCTATGAAACTATGAAAGGAAAATGGTTCTTACTGGTTCTAGAAGGCAATTAGATTTTTATCCTAGTTTATCCCTATTCTGTTCTCTTGACGTACTTAGCATTTTGGTTACACTTCATTATCTCTTTTTACAAATTAATTGCCAGTAAGCAGATAATTAAGATAATACAAATATTAACTGATCTTCTGTCTACTTTACCTGTGCATTTCAGCTTTGTCTGGTCCTGGTCTTGTACGTATGATATCAATTTGTGTTGAATCAACAATAGATCATCTGGACAAACTGGAAGAGGTGACCACTGAACTGGGAAACATCAATGTGTTGAATCTTATGAGGCGGATCATGTTAGATACTTCTAACAAACTCTTTCTCAGGATCCCTTTGGATGGTACAGAAAGCTTTATTCTAACTTATAGTGGGTCAATTTCTAAAGTATATATTAAGCAAAATTTCACACTGAGATGAATGGGAAGTTTTGCCTCAGAATGTTTGCTCCAGGGTCAGTTTTTAATGGTCAATTATTTAATAAAAATGCCAGATCTGATTGAAATTGATTCTAATCCAAAGTAAGAATTATAAATGATCTTTAAAAATATACATTCAGTCCATCAGGCCTGACAAGTCCCCTGAACTGAATGGTAGCATCTGCATCCTGACAGTTTAGTTAGTTTCCCAGTCATCCTAGTAATCATGATGCTTTCAACACAGTAATCCTCTCTTTATATTTGCTGCATTCTCACATTAGAAAAAGTGCCAAATTGCCAGCTGCAAAACATTTGTTGGCAGACAAAATTTTATGAAATGTGTAAAGGAAGGTTTCTGTGAATCTGGCAGGCACCTACCCCAATATTCTCTGCACGTAAGTCAGAAAACTTCCCAGCTAAATAGCTGATTCGAAAAATTCACCTGCCAGTTTCCTAATCATCTGTGACATGCTCTTCCCTAAAAGTTTGAAGCTGAAGTAACATTAACTTGGTGAGAAGTTGGCTACCTCATGTCAAAATACTGTAACATAACAATATCAGCAGTAGACTTTGGTATTGGTTCTTACACCAAAGGATTGTTTCCACTCAAGAGTCACAGTCTTCAGAAAGAACAGTATAATGGAGACAGTGTACTACAAAATGTTTCATGTTGTCATTCATCACAAATTAATACAAATTATTTCAGTGTCAACCATGAAAAAGCTAGGAAAGGAAAAGAAAAATGACGATACTGAAAATCTACTCTGAGTTTAGCAGGAGAATCAAGCCTTCCTTGTTGATTTTGGATGAAATACTTGGCAAGTTACTGGCATATTAAAGTGTAAAATTTGTATTGCTATTTGTTCATTTTTATTTTCAGAAAATGCTATTGTGCTTAAAATTCAGAACTACTTTGATGCCTGGCAAGCACTTTTACTGAAACCTGACATCTTTTTTAAGATTTCTTGGCTGTACAAGAAATATGAGGAGTCGGTGTAAGTATCAATAGTTTTCCAGATCATTGGATTAAGACTGATTATGCATTCCTGAAGTCAGTTATTCTCCCCTGTTAGTTTTCTCCCTCTGTTTTTCTGAAAACAAACTGCAGAGTTTCCGAAGTTGATTGACTGAGCTGTTGAGGCTGAAGTCCTCTCTCTGCCTCCAGAACCAGGACAGCAGCTGTGCAAGCTGTTCTCCTGTTCTGGAATGACCGGAGGAGAGGGGAACTCAGGTTTTTGCCAGTTCAGTCTTGGTATCTCTGCTGAGATGCAAGTAGGTATGAAACTGAACTGAAATCACTATGCTTTTCATGACTTTTGATGACAAGCCATTTGACGGTGTCTGCTTTCACTTGCTACCAATTCAACCCGAGTCCAACAGTAATCCAAAGAAAACAGCACTTGTTCACATCAGCAAGTCCTTTTTACAGTTAGGATATTGAACCAAATATTTCATTGTAATCCTGCTTTTTAGTGCCTATGATGTTCCCAAAATAATTAGTCATGAGTTAAAACTTCACTTAGCATGCTAGATATCATCTCAGCATGGATTTTTCCCCCTGAAAAAGGAACAAATTAGTTTTTCCATCTTTCCATTTATAAAAGGCACACACCCACCCACAAAATGCTTCTTTCACTGAATTTTGATGATCTCATTTGCTTTCCTCTACCAAAAAATGACTGATTATAAAAAGAATTGGCAGTCACTTCATCTTGTTTCTGGATGGATCTCTAACTATTTAGAGCTATGATTCTCAGCCAGGTTGCTATAGCACCCTCGGGTGCCTTGAGATATTTTCAAGAGTGCCACAGGGTGCCACACAATGTTAAAAGTGTTAAGTCTGCAAACATAATTCACAAGATAAAGCCAAAGATTTCAACTGGGATTCCACAGCATTAAAAACATTTTGAACTATAGTGGCCTTTGGGTTCTTTACAACCGAAGAACTGTTCTATTACTTTTCTGTAGTCAAAAATGAGTAAAAACTAGAAGCTGGCATTTTCCAAGTGGTACTTCAAGTCTACAAATGTTGAGAACCACTGATTCAGAGAAAACAGTCATCATAAAGTATGTGTAACAAGTACTTCTGATACGATTATATTGGATAAAGGATTTGAGGGAATTTAAGAAAGGACGGTTATCTATACTACTTGATATTCAGTTCACACTAAAGCCAACAGCAAATCTCACATTGAATAGAACCAGGATGTCACTCTCTACCTCTAAAATAAAATTAGGTATCTTTCAGCATTTTCTACTCAGTGATAGCTGTGACATTAGAGTTTTGCCTTTTACTTCAAGTGAGAGAGAACTGTAGTGGCTTAGATACCAATGGCTAGTAAATGGGAAAATCTTGCATTTTTAATGACCATGGCTTTAAGTGGGGATCGCCATAATCTGTGAAGACGGCAGGGTTCTTAAAGGCATGTCCATACCACCTGTGCTGTGCCTGGGCACACCCAGTGAAATAGGCCCCACCCACTTATTCCTGTTCCACACACAACAAATCAAGAAATGAGGCAATAAAGACACCTTAGGATGGCCTTGGGCACATGGTAATAAACATTACCAAAACAGTGGCTTAAGAACAGTGGTGAGCATATGCATTGCTCAGGGCTGTCCCAACTGATCTTCCCTGCCTCTTTGGCACATACAGGGTGTGCTTCAGTGTGATGAGCCTGAGTGCAGCATGGCCATGCCCAAAGTGAACAGAATAAGACAACTATAACACACTATAGTTCACAATAAGCCACAATTTACTACTACTACTGGAATGAAAGTCCATGCTTTATAAAGCTTCCTGGTACCAGTATTTCTATTGAGTTTTCATCAACTATTGAAGTTTTAATGTATCTACAGTCATTCTCATTAGAGTTGATCTAATATGTACTGACACATTAAATACTTTTGGCTTATTAGGGATTTCCCTGGTTGCAAACAGGCCCATCAAATTTCTTTCACTAGTGAACTGCATGAGAAATTATTTGCTTGTTCATTCTGTTCTTAACTTTCTTCTCCTATGTAGTCTCTACATTTCTATTCCTGTACTATGCATTACTGGCAAGCATTCAAATTTTGCAGACATTTATAGGTATACTGGATTCTATCCATTTTCAGCAAAGATTTGAAAGGAGCAATGGAGCTATTAATACAGCAGAAACGTCAGAAGCTTTTCACTGCTGAAAAACTGGATGAGCACGTGGACTTTGCAACACAACTGATTTTTGCACAGGTAATAAGGATGTGTAGAAAATATTGGCACTTTGTCCAAAGCTCTTCTGTCACTGTAAAAATAAGATGGTGTGAGCGGGAGAAGTGGATGACTTGAAACAAAATTTGACTTCACCTGCAGCTTAAAGGAAGACCACTTAAAAATAATAAAAACTTAAAAATATAGTTTTTGGTAGGGGTGCACCAATAAAGATTTTTGGGCCGATACCGATGGCTGACTATTAACCAGCCATGTTGGCTGATGCCAATCTGTTTGCTGATTTGCAGCCCAGCAGCTTGGAGATCAGTGTCCAGCTGGTAAGTCTGCTGGGGGGGGAAGGAGATAGGGGAGGGAAGGGGTGGGGGGTATAGATCGAGGCCCCTGTGGTGAGGGAGGGAGTGGGGCAGGCACTGCACAGCCAGGGTGGGGGGGTGCTCTCCAAGCTGCCAGGCTGCATTCCTGGCCACATGCATACTGCAGCTACACTCATGCATGTGGCATTTATTGGTGACATTATCAACTACATCAGCCCAAAAAGCCAATTGCTGATAATGTCAATTTTCCTTTTATTTGGTAGCGATATGATATGGACTGATGTACTGGTGCACCTCTAGTTCTTGGACAGCCTCAGAAATGTTCAAGTGTTGTTGATTTTGGGGTGATTTTTTGAACATCTTCAGGTTAAATCTACATCCCAAAGTCTCTCAGCAAGATTCAACCTCTCTCTAAGCACTTGTATTTAACTTGAATTAACACCATTCACACCAAAAAGATCCCTAAATCCTTCCTTTACTGTAAACATATAGACTCTTTAGCATCAAGCAAGCTCTGTAATGGAAGGCCACATGGGACTGATGCTTGGTATGCTGCAGCACTCTAGGTTTGGTGGGACTTCAGATTAAGGATGAATCCCTTCTTTTAAAAGAAGTGCTATAAGACCACAAAAAAAGCAGGACACTGGTTTTCATTTTTTTTACATTTGCAAGATGCACACAATAAAATGGATGTTACTTAGCTGAGATTGAGTCAACACTGTTAAAATCTGAACCTATTGTATTGAGTGAGTATTCTACATTCTTCCAATTATATTAATCTTTTGGATTGTAAATCCATTGTTTAGCATTTGCCCCTTTCAATTTTGTAGAACCGTGGAGATCTGACAGCTGAGAACGTTAACCAGTGTGTGCTGGAGATGATGATCGCTGCCCCTGACACTCTATCAGTGACTCTCTTCTTCATGCTTGTACTGATTGCAGAGCACCCCAAGGTAGAAGAGGAAATGATGAAGGAAATTGAAACTGTTATGGGTAAGGATTGACATTAAAGACCCTGAAAAATCATTTTACTGAGTAGTGATCTAATTTTCATTTCACAGGGTAAAAATGTAAAGCGTTTCCTTCTTATACACATATGGATTGTAAAGTGATCCCCACTGCCCCCCACTGTCCCATGCTGGATGGAGGGGCTCTTCTATGAGCTCCCCAACCCCCACCCACTCTCCCAGCCCCCCCATGGCTGCCCCACCCACCCCAGCTCCAGCCCTTTAAGAAAAAAAAAAACAACCCCCCCAACTCACCAGCTCCTGCAGCAGCCTTGGGGCTTCTGGAGGCTCGGGGAAGAGCTCCCCATACAGTACAGGGCACTGGGAGGGCAGCAGGGATTGGCCCCCTGCCAGGCAGGAACCAGTGAGTCCAGGGTGGGTTTGTTTTGGTTGGGTTTTTTTTCTTAAAGGGCCGGGAGCTGGGGTGGGTGGGTGGTTAAGGGGCTAATGGCAGAGCCCCACATACAGCGTGGGACAGTGGGAGACAGCAGAGTTCTCCCCCCACCTGGCAGCACCTGGTGAGTCTAGGCTTTTTTTTTTCTTCAAAGAGCCAGAAGCTGGGACAAGCAGGGCAGCCATTGCTGGGGCTGGGAGAATGGGCAGGGGATGGGGCCTGTGTGATTCAGCGGTTCAGCTGATTCAGCTGCAGCCTAATCTCTAAATCAGATTCGGCTGAATTAATTCGGGACAGTGATTTGAATCATCTAATCGAATCACTGTCCCCCGAATTGGCCAAATCCAAAGCAAATACTAGCCACTTTGCACAGGCCTGCAGCAGAGTATGGTGTAAAATAAAAATTACCCACTAGGATATCTGGAAGGACCACCTATGCTCAGGTATTACAGCCATAAGGGCCCTTTAAAAATAAGTAAAATCCATTTGTGGACTGATCTAAGAAGATCTGGTTCAGAAGGAACTCCTGACAGAAATGGAGGTATACATCCAAATTTCAGTTTACGTCAATTAATGACTCTCCAGAGACTCCTAAGGAAACTGAATCAGATCCTAATACTTTTCTTGTCTTTGAGACAAATCCTTAACTGAGGAAAGCACTGGAAATATTGATTGCCTTTTCTGTGGGTGTATGTTGTTGGCAACAGATTTATGACCCAGTCCTGATACTTTGTTCCAGCCAGACCCAAATCCTCTCATCAGACCAGGGGTTTAAAACTCTATGGCATACTAAAGATATTTAATATGAAGCCTTTATCCTGCTTCACCTACCTCCAGGGGAGCTTTACCTTTGGCTTCAGTGGAAGCAGGGTCAATGCATAACAGAGAGGAGATCTGTGGCAGCTCATATTATTAACAGGTGAGTATCCACATAAATAAATTATATGTTGGGCATTCTGTAACATGAGGTAGTACAGAGCCACAGGAACCCACAGACATTTCATTGCCATGAACTGTAAAAATGGACTGCATTTTGACTAAATAGAGTCTTACATCAAAGTGTAGCATTTCTAGTAGCAATTAGATATAATTAGAACCCAGAAATCAATTTCTCCCTGTCTGCTTTTATTTTTCAAGGTGACAGAGATGTACAGAGCGATGACATGCCAAACCTAAAGGTTGTGGAGAATTTTATTTATGAGAGCATGAGATACCAGCCAGTTGTGGACTTGATCATGCGTAAGGCTCTACAGGATGATGTGATTGATGGCTATCCTGTGAAAAAGGGGACAAACATTATTCTGAACATTGGACGAATGCATAAGCTTGAATTCTTTCCAAAGCCTGATGAGTTTTCTCTTGAAAATTTTGAGAAGAATGTAAGTCTCCTGTCTTGTTTCATGGGATATAATGTTACTTTCTACTTAAAAGTCACAATGTGTCTCCTGATTTTTACCAAGACCTTTCTAAACACACATTAGATTCTCTCTTTGTCTGTGTAAGTGCCTGAATCAACTACACAATCTATATAATGAATTATAATTAATGCTGGTTGAAAATGTTCCACCACTAAGGCTATTCATAGGAAAATGCCAAAACAATTTAAATCAAAATGTTTCATCAAAAAAGTCATTTCTGTGAATTCCACAAAAACCCAGGCAGGGCTCTGATACACCGGGAGCCCCTAGATGATCCAAGCAGCATTTCGAGTCCCTGAGCCAGCGCAAAGACCCTCTGATGGGGCAATTTCTTTTTCACCTGGCTTCCCCCTTTCATTTCAAGCAAATCAATTTTCCTTTACCACATGCCCATTTTGGTGAATGTTTTAGTGAATATATTTACTGACAGACTCTTTGAAGAAACAGTTAAGATAACACATGGGGATATTGGCCAAAACTGCATTTTGAACTCCAAAATGTGAGCAGTTATACTTGATTCTAAGATCTATTATCATCCAGTTACAGAATAAACAGTATTGTGTAAGGTATGACATCAGAACTAACCAAACAAGAATAATATTTTAATGCTAATTGCTAATATTCATAGTAAACATATTCTCCACTATATATTTAGCCCAGAAACAATTCAGAAAAAATGACAAATTGGTGAAAATTCACAAATAGGAAAAGTGTCTCCATTTATTAAATTCATCATTTACTTGTACTTCTCCTTTGCATTTTACTCCTTTTTATTATAGTGGATTTCTCTATTGTTTCATGAACACAACTTCTTGCTAAAAATACTTCCTCCATAATTACATGCCCAGAAATAATTTCCACACATTCTTCTAAGTGGATAGCAACCGAGACCATTAGTTAATTTCTGAGAAGATGACTCTGTTACAATATTGTTTCCCAGGCCAGCCCTTTGCCATTGTGCTAAGGCAGCTGCAGCACTGCTCTGATTTATAAGCACTTGTATTTACCTATAATCCCTCACAAAATAAGCTCAACTTATTTGAAATGTTTAAACAAAGGCCATTCTCTGCCATGCCACAACTAAAAGGAAACTTAAATTAATTTGTATAATAAAACCTCCACTACCGAAGTATTGGGTTAATTAGGAAATCAGGTCAAGACAGTGTGGAAACTCCTTTCTTTTATGCACTACTATTTTATATTTAGAGCCAGAATCAACTCTCCTTACTCATGGTTAGTAGTGCTCTATCAAATGAGTAGTCTTACTGATTTTGTTGGAGCTGCTTGTGGAAAAAGGTATTACTCAACATGAGGAGGAGTAACAGACTGGCCCCAAGTCTAGTACAGATTTGAGAAACATATATTTCACAGTTTGGAGAATAAGATGGCAAACTGTTCATAAGTTTATAAAATGATTTCCTGTAAGGTGTTAATTAAAATTGGCTTAATTCCAGTATATGACAAATTCATTCTTAGACATGCTAGTTCTGATCTAGTAACGGTTGCAGAATCTACACGGTTTCCTGAATGAAACTGGACAACATACCAAGCCTTATTTCAGTTATTCAAAAGCTGTAGGATATTGATGTCAAAAGTGAAATTCTCCTTTTGTTTCATACCCTGTGCAAGACCACTGTAGTGAATCAGATGTGTGAGGTTGAGATCCATAGACAAAATTCTTTCCTGCTTGACTGCTATAATGAGTTAGCAGGTAAAGTGGTCACCTGCGGACCCTATTCCTGAAAGTTTCTGTATTTACTTTCATTCATTTAAAAGTTCAGGTAAGCAAATAAATGAAAAGTCCCCTGTGTGTGGTACTGTGCTACTTGATCCAGAAAGAACCTAGCCTCAAGGTTTCCCCATTGGTAATATAAGTTTTAATGATATTTTCAGTTGCTTCACAAAATAAACCATTTTCATTAAATACTCTTCTCTCTTGTTTTGCATAGGTTCCTTCTCGCTATTTTCAGCCATTTGGATTTGGACCTCGGGGCTGTGTAGGAAAGTTTATTGCCATGGTAATGATGAAAGCAATCTTGGTGACACTTCTGAGACGGTGCAGAGTACACACACAAAAAGGAAGAGGCCTAAACAACATCCAGAAAAACAATGACTTATCCATGCATCCAAATGAAAGGCAGCCCTTACTTGAGATGGTTTTCACACCAAGAAGCATTACAGGCAAGTGTCAGGGTGACTAGCAACAGATCACTAGTGGTGTCTGTTCTAGGGCTGTCATTGCCCTAGTCCAACTGAGAAATGCCCACCCTTCCTAAAGGAAGTCACGATTTCATTAAACTAAACATATTCTTGCCCCTAATATATGAGCACTTTAGGTGATCTCCTATTTTGCCTGAAGAGCTAAACCAGGTTTGGTCACTATTCAAAGCTGACAAACAAGTTCCAAGTATATAATCAAGTGCAGTTGGTGAAGTGTCACATGTAGAAACTGTAATTATTTTAAGAAATGCACCATTCTGAAGAGATTAGTCTCTGCTGTTTTCACACTGCAAGCTCAATGTCCATGACTGCAGACTTGGAAACCAAAGGGTTAGGGTTTTCTCTGCTATACCAGAGGGGATGCTTTTAGCAGAGCTCAAAGAGACATCATCAGTTGTTGACTGTTATAAGAGCTCTAATAATGTGTCTTCAGAACCATTTTAATAAAATACTACCGATGTTCACTTAAAGTATAAGTGTATAAACTGTCTTAACTTATCCAAAGTTCCTGTAAAGTATGCCTCCAAATTACCCAAATTTAGGATGCCTCCAAATTACCCAAAACACTGCTCATTAAGAGAGAAGCTAAAAAGTTTAGTTTTCCTCTACAAGATTTTGCCTTCTGGTCTGTTAAACACCTATTTTCAAAAAATTATTATAGTAGATGTGTCTGGCTGATTATTGTAATTCTAAAAGTATCCAAAAATAAATAGCACTTGAGATAACTACAGTAGATCTAAAGGCTCTAATCCCAGTCACAGCCACAGAGGTACCACTAATATCTCCACCTTGCATCACTAATGCCCAGTTGTGACTCAGAAGATGAATTAGTGCATTAGACCTAGGGGGCAGAGGAAGAGGAACCGGGTGGGTTACAGCTCCCCTTTCGCTGCTAAAAACCTGTAGAACAGGCCTGAGAAAGAAGCTCTCCTTGTTTTCCTGTTGCAGGGAAGGCATCATCATGTAAAAGCTGGACATCTTGATGATGTCAGATGGACTTCATTCATCCCATCTGTGTGAGGCTCTAGGTCTCACTACTCACCAGTTTTCTGCATCAGGCAGAAAAGTCCTAAATAGGTAACCAGTTTTTTGGAAAAAAAGATGTAAAAGGGAATTTTTCAGAGTTAGCTGCACCCTTCTTCAGGAGTAACTTTAAAGTAGATCTAAATCCAGTTTATTAACAAGATACCTATGTGAATGGCAACAAATGTGGCTAAGCTGGAGGAGTATGGCTCTCTTCCTTGGATCTCTTGAGGGTATTTCAACACACTGCTACCTGTTCTTGCAGTGGTAGTGCCCTTTATTTCTCCTACTTTACCTGTAGCAAGTTAAAGGTTATTTTTGATGTTTCAAGCTTTATGACTGGTAGTTGTACATGAAACCTATTCAGATCAGACAAACACTTGTCTAGGATGGTTTTGATAGGGATAAACCTACCCTGAGCAGAGGATTGGACTAGGCTACCTCCTAAGGTCCCCCTCCCTCCCCACTTTGGGTGATTCTGTGATTCCAAGCTCCTTTCAGTCCAGTATTTATAAATTATGGAGTTAACTGGGTCAGGAACTACTACAATAAATAAATAAAAAAAAAGACATACCTTCATGGCTTAATGGGAAACATTGGTTCAACAAAGATTTTTCCTTTTCAGCAAAAGTAAATTCTATTTTTTACGCTTATATAACCCAGGGGGGATGAGCTCCTGGAATTAAATGTCTTTATAAAGGCCAAACAATCCATCAGAGAAAGGTTTTTTATTTAGCCCCTTCCTCAGAGACCAGTTAAGCTATAAACTCTTGGGCAACCAAAGTACATCATTCTGTAGCTAGAACAAACAGATGTCTAAATCCTGTTTTGTGTTGCTTGGGAGAACAGTAAAGTGAGATCCACAATACTTTTTCCCCTGCTGCTGCAATAAGGATCTTGCCTGGCTGGTGCCCTTTTACAGGCAATACACCCTGCAGTTCGCTGTTCCTGCACACAGTTCTGACAAGGTTTTGTATATTAAAATGAGATAATCAGGGATAACAATGAAAACAAGTCAGTGTGTATTCCACATTTATGTGATGAAACCATTCCTGTTGTGACTGACAATCAAGGAAAGGGAGAAATGGAATATTTTAGACCCTTATTGAGTAAAGAAGGTGATTTTCTCGGAAAGGTGATGGTAAGAGATTTCAAGGATCAAATATCTGATTTAATTAAATGCATGATTTATCACTAGTTAAGTCCACTCTAAAGCTTTCTTTATGACTAGTGTGATATTCCAAGTAGTATTATATCAGAATGAACTGCAGCCCCAGTACAATCATTCTGGGTACCAATTATGTATAACTGGGCAACTACGGAAACCTGTTTGGTAACACTGGTTTTGTATTAAATCAAAAGACCAGGAAAATGTTTTCACTGTAGACTTCTAGAAAGAAGATCTTATTTTATAAAGCACTGAAATGACTTAATTGGGCAAGTCCTATGAGCCCTCAGTGGGATTTGTGCTCCTACACATTGGCCACATCTACACAAAATGCTGACTGCGCAACCATTACTGTGCAGTCATTTAGTACTTGTATACTTATACAAGTACTAAATGACTGCACAGTAACCTGAATTACTGCAACAGTAGCACTGACAAATGTCTTTGTTTGTGACCCTGACTGCGCTGTAGTATCAGGCTACTACACAGTCAGCGTCTCGCGTAGACATGGCCCCTTAGGAATTTTGTAATACCAGTAACTGCATCAATAGTGGTGGCTGCAAAAAGAAGAAGGGGAAGATTTCCTTTCCTTACCTGACTGGAGCATCCCATATACAGAATGTAGAATGACTAAATGAGCTAGGGTGGTTTCTTGCTGCACTGAGTTCACTACCAGTAATTATCTAAAAGAACAAGGAAAAAAAAATCAGATCCCATAAATTAGAAATATCATTCTAGACTGAGTTACAGATTTGTTCAATTATGGAGTGTTTATGAGCATTTCAGATCCCTAAATTAAGCAAACTAAATACAACATTAATGCACTGATCTTCACTACAGTAATTCTAGATAAGTTATTAATAGATCATCACAGAAGATCTAGAGTATCTCTCTAATATTTCTATTTGAAGCAGATATTTTAGGGTTTCTGTACAAATCTCCTGACCCTTGCATTATATGAACTAAAGCATTTATTACAGACTAGTTTGGAGAAATAGCCAGTCAGAAGTAGGAAAATTATCATCTTTTTCATCTTGATGTGGCAATAAAACATTAAATCTGATTTTTAAAGGTATCATCTATACGAAGACTGGTACAGAAAGTATAAATGCTTAACTTTGTAATCTCATTTCCAGCTTTGTAAGGACTAATATATTCCTTTTCCTTTTTT